GGAGCCTGGCCATGGGGCTGAGCTGAGAGCTGCTGACCTGACAGATCACAGCAGACCCAGCATGAGGGAGTCACAGGCCACCATCTTCATCCTATGAGGTCCCACCAGGCCATTTCCCCTAAATCATATCCTGGGTCATTTAGATTCTGGGTAGTGATTTCTGGTTTCACAGTCTGGTCACTCAGCACCACACACCTTCTGTGGGGGCATCACCCTCCAGGGTCACTGCACACAGGGTGTCACCTCTTCTGTGACATCCCCACTCCACAGCACACTGGCATCTGTCACTCTCATCTCTTCCACTCTAGGCAAGTGTCTTTCCAATGTTAGCTGTAAACTTGGAAAAGGCACCAGAACCCACCTGACTAAGGATGTCACCTGGGCCCATTGTCTCTGTGAGGGCACCAGGGTCACTGTCTGCACAGGACATGAGGTCTAGAGTGTGGGAATCTGTGGTCCCTCAGTGAGGGGGATCTGTCACTGCAGCCAGGACAGGCCCCCTGGCAGCCCCAGCGTCCCTGCTGCCACTCCAGGCTGCAGCTCTGCCGCCCCCTGCTGGGGGAGGACACTCAGAGCAGGGGCTTCCCTCCCCCAGGTTTCCCCACAGCACTTGTGACCTGGGAGGGTGAGGACCAGGGAGTCCAGTCTCACTGGGTAGCAGTGTGAACAGCTGCCCTGCACAGCCACACACAGAGGTCCTTGTGCTGTGTGCAGGGAGCCAGGAGGGTGTGGCTTCTGTCACCCCCTGGGAGTGCAGAAATTCCCTTCTCTGATTCCTGCTTTGTGACGGAAGGGGTGGGAGGTAGAGGACAAGCTGTAGCTCTTCCAAAAGCAACAAGGTCCCGAGACACACCTGTGACACCAGATAGGGACCCAGACTTCGTCCATATTTAGGAGCCAAGACTGACTCTCCCCCTCCCAGTCAGAGCAGCTGCAGGTCACTGGAGCCCCAGAAGTTCCTGCCCCTACAGCTCAGCTGTGCCCTCACATCCCCCTCATCAGTGTCACCATCTCTGTCCCCGTGAACAGCATGAGGAAGACATCAGTCCTGCTCTTCAGAGTCCCACATTCTCAGGGAACAGAAGGTCAGGAAATGGGGGTCCCTCAAGTGTCCCAGTTTGTGCTGAAAGGGCAGGAAACCTGTCACTTCCCAGCTCTGATCTCCCGGGAGCTCCCAGTGAGCCTGGGACACACAGAGCTATGCTCACTCCATCAGGGAGCCTGGAAATGTGTCTGGATTCTCTTGTCATTGTGGTTCTCTAAGATTTAGCTTTCTGGTCACTCCACATATGTCATCCATTGAAACCCTGGTCCTTGCAGAGATGTGCTCACTGGCTCATTGGATGGGAAATGTCCTTGAAGGGCCTGGTCCCTGCACCTGTCTGCCCTTCCCTGATTAGAGTCAGTCCTGCTGTAAAGCACAAGGTCTAAGGGAGGGTTTGCATAGGGGTGAGTGACACAAACAGGGAGGACACGGGAAATGTGAACACCTCACAGTCCCCTCACTTAAGGCCCACATGGCCCACATGTCCAAGGTGCACACAGGCCAGAAGCGTGATGGGCAGCTGAGATGTGGGGATGGGAAATCCACCGTTAGACAGCAGGTTCCTTCCCCCTCACTCCTCCAGCACACCCTGTCTCCTAACACATGTCAGGGGTAGGACATCCTCAGCCGCCATGTCCTTCTGTGCATGCAGTGCCCAGAAGCTTGGTGACCTTTCCTATAGGGTTAATTTGAAGTGGACATGATGTTGGACGCATCCTGCTGACACAGCATCTTGAACCCAGCAGTGCACAGAGAGCTCGGTCCTGGGGCACAGTGTATGCGTCTCATGGCACAGCCTGCTCAGTCCTGCCATGCAGAGAAAGGGCCACTGCCCTTTACGATGGTAGTTTTATTCAAACTTTTCCCCAAACCTCGGATTGCAAGTAACCCTGCTGGGAAATGCTGGCCCAACACAGCTAACAGCCAAGTGTGAGCTAGGGAATCATAACCAGTATGACTGGCAACAAAGTCACCAGGTAAATTTCCATTTGGAAATTGGAAGGGTGACCCTGGAGGGAACAGAAGAGTATAGTTCACAATTTCAAAGACACAGTGAGAGCAAGAGAGAGAGAGAATCAGGGTTCAGTATATAGAAAAGGAGGAACAGTGGGTATTTGAGTGAGTTTGCAATTGTTATGAGGTGTCTGATTCACAACTAAGCTACTTTTCTTTTCACTACAGAGTGTGCACTATTTTTATTTTGCAATAGTAAATCGGCCTTGTATTTTACCCTCATAATCATTTCTAATTACACAATTCAGCAGTAGCAGGAATACTGACAGGGCTCTCCGCCATCTCCTCCACCTTTCCCCAGAGCTCTCAACGCCCCAGAGAGACACTCTGCACACGTCACTCATAACTTTAGTTGAATTTGGTCCCTGGGGATAAAATGAAGAGAGTTTAGAGAAAGGGCCCAAGGTGGTATTTGTACGTGCTCACCAGGGTCAGTCACATCCCAGCATAGGAGGAGAGACCCCTCATCTCAAAACCATCTGAGGCACATCTCCTGGAGCATCCTTGGGCCGGTTTTCACTGAGAGGAAGGAGATTTCCAGCTGGTCACACTCTCTGGGACACCTGTCCTCTCCTGTGAGGCCCATATGTGAGTTCATGTGACCAGCCCTTAAAAGAGTTGAATGGGTCCCAGTAGGTGAGGGTCAGAGCCAGGACACCCATGAGGGATGGAGGAAGCAGCCACTCACACTTGTCCCCAGCGTCATCACCCTCCCTTCCCTGTCATGACACACTCCAAGGGAGCTGGGTCATCTGGACACCAGGAGAATACCCAAGGCTCTGCTGTGCTGTGGTCACTAGGTCAGACATGCATTGCGTATTTGAGTGTATGCAGGAGTCCTGCAAGCTCTGGTGAGACCCCTTCTCTCCTGAAGGTGGGACAGACATGGGCCTCCTGTTTCCACGTGAACTGAGATGTTTAGGGTGTACTTGTCGGGACTGTGCTGAGTACCTCTCACAATACACATCACTGTATCCACAGTTTCCACAAAAGAAGGAAATAAAGCTTAGGAGGTCACATGGGTTTCCAGAAGCAGCGTGTTGTGCACTTGGGGAGGTTGTTTATGTCACACACGAGGAGCCAGAGAAGGTCACCCATGGGCTATCGGCCCCAGGGCAGGAGGCTCTGCAGCAGGCCAGGCCGTGGTCTGAGCCGTCCTGCTGAGTGGGGCCCAGAACCCGGCAGCCTCCACCTTGATACGGGACCTGGTGATGCCCATTGGAACCTTGTGATTATGAGAAACCACACAGGTGAGTCCCAATGGACATCCATGGCTTTTGGAACAAGTCCAGGTCATCTCCAGTACTAAAGTATTGACCTTTGGAGCAACAACCAGGTGTGCACTTGTGCCCTGGTGGACACAACACAACACAGGACATCGCTGACCACACAGGTACCATTGCCAAGTCCCCCATCCTGAGCTCAGTCAGGCCCAGCTGGCTCCCCGGGGAGCTGGACGGGGCACACCCAGGATGGAGCAGGAGCAGGGCCAAGGCTCAGTCCCCTGCACCAGCAGCTGGCCCACACCGTGGCCCCATCTCTCCTGCTCCAGCACCTCTCCCTGGGCTCACAGTCAGGTCCAATGGAGGAGGCGGGGCTTCCTGCACCAAGTGGCCCTGAAGGGGCCAGAGCTGCTGTGTCCTACAGCCATGAGACGTGACGACACCACATACAACAGGAAAAGACAACTGAATTAACATATTCAGTATAATATATTTTATGTAACCTAATATATCAAAAATAGATCATTTCCACATGTAATCAATATAAAAGTATATAAGAGATACTTACTTTTTCTTGGCTATGCTTTTTTCTTTCTTACTTCCCTTTTTTTTCACACAGAGTCTCACTTGATTGCCCAGGCTAGACTGCTGTGCTGCCATCAAAGCTCACAGCAAGGTCAAACTCTAGGGCTCAAGAGATCCTCCTGCCTCAGTCTCTGGACTAGTGCTAGCAGGGACTATAAGCACCCGCTAAAATGCCCAGCTAATTTTTCTATTTTTAAGTGAGACAGAGTCTCCCTCTTGCTCAGGCTGGTCTCCAATTCCTGAGCTCAAGTGATCCCCGTACCTGGGCCTCCCAGAATGCTAGGATTACAGGCTGAGCCACCAGGCCTGGCCTCCTCTCTCAAGAGATTCCCTCTGTGAAGCTTATGTGGCTGGAGGAGAAGGGAACGGGTATCCTGAGGACAAGGGAGGGCTGTGGAGTCTTTGTCACTGTGAAATTCCCAGGCTGAACTGTGTGTGTCACTGAACGGAGGACACCTGCACCGCTGGGGGGGGCTCTGAGGGGAATGATGATTTGTGCACGGGGTGGGGTGGGGTGAAGAGCCCTGAGGCTCACCCTGTGGGTGCTGCTGGGGCTCCCTGTGTGGGCCTGAGGCTGCTGCTTCTCTGGAAATTGGACTCACTGAAGGAGGGTCTGACCCACCCCAGTACACTGAGCCCTGAAAACTCCTGCCTGTCAGGCCCCATTTTCACTCTGGACCACACAGGGAATGGTCAGGTGTAGCTGGGCAATAGGACATTCACTCTGGGGATCTAGGAGAGAAACCAGTTTCCCGTGCACAGTGACCTCCTCAGACCCTGATGACTGTGGTGGGGACAGCAGGCTGTCCCTGGTTGGGTCCTGGAAGCAACTCCTGAGATGGAGATTTCAGGCACAGAGTCCCTGGAGGAACAAAGAAGGCAGTGCTGGGTGAGGAGCAGTGACCACAATCAGGTTCGCCAGCAAGGCCACAGGTGCCCACGGAGGACACTCTGAGCCCGGGGTCCTCCAAGGCTAGCCTATATTGAGGCAGGACCTGGATCTCTCTGAGAAGGGCACACATTGGAAGGGGGTAGTTCTCTGCACCCAGCTGCACTTCCCAGTGAGAAGTGAGAGCTGAGCCTGAGCTACCATGGGGCTCAGCAGTGCTGGGGGGGGGGGTCACCCTGAGGAGGGGTCTATTAATCTCACAGTCCACTCTGCCCTTTGCCCTCCCAGGCCTCAAGGGAGCTTTGGTGTCACGATATCAGCATGGGTGGGCAGTTATGGGGACAGGTCCAGAGACTAGGTCCAAGGAATAGGACTGTCACCACCACATGTTTATCTGGGGACAAGACAATGAATGGATGATTCCCTCTGTGTGTCCTTCCACTCAGGCCCCATTCTGTCCTCATGAAGCAGCCCTGATAGACAAGAGAGCTCTGCTTCTGCTCCTGCCAGGCAACATCCACCCCTGACCACCCTCCGCAAAGCCTCCCTGTGGGTACCCGCCCTGCTCATGGTGCGTCTACAGTCCTCCTTGGCAGGAGTGAAAGGGTGACACAGGAGGGGAAGTGGCTTGTGTCTCATTAGATGGGGCAGGAGTTAGTGTCTCACTTCCCCATCTGCCTGTGTCACTGTGAGCAATGTCGTTGCTAAAGTCCCACACCTGACAGTAATAGTCAGCATCGTCCTCGGCCTGGGCCCCGCTGATGGTCAGGGTGGCCGTGTTCCCTGAGTTGGAACCTGAGAATCGCTCAGGGATCCCTGAGAGCCGGTTGCTATCACCATAGATGACCAGCACAGGGGACTGGCCTGGCTTCTGCTGGTACCAATGCACAGCTTTGCTACCAATATTGTTTCCCCTACAGGTGATCCTGGCTGTCTCTCCCAGGGCCACTGATACTGAGGGTGGCTGGGTGAGCTCATAGGAGGCCACGAACCCTGTAAGGAGAAAAATGAATGGCTTGAAACCAGGGGCCTTACAGCAAAAATTTCCACTCTTTAGGGCGGTAGAGTCTTCAGAGGACCAATGACCACATTGTGGGGGTCTCAGTCCCAGCGGCCCCTCACCCTGCAGCAGACTCAGGAAACCCCTGCCCTCCACAGCCAGGGCCCTGCTCAGCTCAGACTCAGGCCCAGGCTTGTCCCTAATCCCAGGAGCTGGGCAGGTGGGGTCCCTGGGACAGCACCTGTGCAGTGAGCCAGGAGGCCCAGGAGGATAGGGGTCCAGGCCATGGTGGAGACACCCCTGATGCTGCTTCTGAGGCCCAGGCTGAGCAGGTGCCTCCCAGGCCTGTCTTATCCCCTGGTGGAGAGAGCTGCCCAAGATGCAAATGAGCCTGAGTTAGGGGCTGCTGCCTGAGGAGCTCTGTGGTTTCCAGACAGGCTCAGCCCAGGGGCCCGGGGTAGGGGAGCGGCACCTGCAGACCCAGCTTAACACCCAGGAGTCTTTTCCATCAGCTGGTCTCATAGTCTGGGCCAATATCTCCACCCACGACTATGTTCAGGTCTCCCTGTAGGCCATGCTGAGCTCACACGTGACACTGTCTGATTCTCCTTATTCTTTTCCACAGGTGACAACAAACCTCAGTGGTTGCAGGTCCTAACTCAGATCCCTGATTCTGAGTTTACAGCCCTGTTCACAGTGCTGGATTCTCATGAGCATATGGGTTTTCATTGGAGGCAGCAGCTCACTCTGTCACCTGTGCCAGAGTGCACAGGTGAGATCACAGGTCAGTGAAGCCTGGAACCCCCAGCTCCCACCATTCTCCCTTCTCTGCCTCCTACTGTGGGAAGATTACAGGTGTGAGTCACCCAGCAGCTCACATGCACTGTTCAAGAGCATCTCAGGATCTATAAGTCCCTGCCCTTGGTGTGAGCTCCTGAGCAGGTCGTTGTACTGGGCCTCAGTGTCCCCCGTGTGTGCTGGAAGTCACGGACAGCTCCCAGGGTTCTAAGTGAGCTTGGCACTACAGAGACTGAGCCTCCTTGGGGTTCCCAGGGTGGGGGTAGTGTAGTATTTGTGCCTGGACCAGAGAAATAGGAAGTGACAGAGCGGCCTGATGTGAGATGTGGAGCCAGAATCTGTGCTTCACATCAAGCAGGAGAAAGATGAGTGGGAGCAAGGCTGACTCCTGTGATTAGAACCAGGTGACTCTGCCGCCCCCTGGTGGCCGCCCCACACTGGTGGCTGCAGCTCAGGAGCCTCCTGGGTCCAGGTGTAGATTCACAAGCTGCTGCTCAGGTCCCTGGTCCCCTGACCCAGAGGCTGCTGCCCCGGGGAGGGTTCCTCTTTTCTGTGTAACCTCTGCTGCCTCCAGACCAAGCATGAGGACTCCGCTTACCCTAGAAAATATGAACTTCCCCATTTGTAGTAGAGGGTCAAGGCCCAGCTGAGGCCTCCCTGTGTGTATATCTAGGACATGGTTGGTCCTGCAGGAGATACCAGGGCTTGGCACTGAGCACACGGTGCTCAGGGACTGTGGATTCAGGGCCATGACCAGTGCCCGTGGGGCTGCACCAAACACACAGTAGACCATCCCCACAGCAGAAATTCATCCAGACCCACTCTGCTCTGGCCACTTCCATTCCGAGAATCCAGCACGTACAGGACACAGCCTGCTTGGTGTGAGTTTCTTTCCTTGTTTGTGTCTCCGTGCAGGACACACACTGGGTTTCCAGACACAGCAGATAGTCCCCACCACCTTCTCCCTGAGCACTGTCTGCTCTATTCATTCACTAATATCACCTCCTGCCCACCCAGGGCTCTCGAAGCCAGGACTGACTATGTGCTCCAGGGCTGGCCCGTGGGTATCAGGGTCACTCAGCCGTTCCTTCTCCGGGAACCATCACTTTTGTGAAGAAAGTCACATGCTGGATTTCTGCTGCTTCTTTTCTCCTAAATTTGGGTGTGATGGCTGGAGCTGGAGCAGTGGTCCTGAGACTTTGTGCCAAGCAGAGTGAAAACAAAATCAACATCATCAAAACAGTGGAACAGGGACTTAGGAAGATCCTGGTGCCTTCATGGAAGTGGGGGAACCTAGAAATCAAACCCTGTCTCTCCTGTGATTTGCTTTGCAAGGGGATATAGGCTTCCCTGTGTTGGTGCCTCTGTATTTCATATGCGTGATCTTGCAGTAAAAAAGCACTTCTGACCATAGGGAAATAATTCATACAAGTAAATAAATTCATAGAAATAATGACAGGGAAATAATGATAGGGAAAGACCCCGTCATTGATGCTATCCCAATAAAGAAGTTAGACAGAACATGACAGGCAGGCCGTGTCAGAACAGCAGGTCAGAAGACCTCTTTCTCTGGAACTGCTATCAAGACTTTGGAAAGGCTGGAGACACAGGAGTGTGTGGGAAGCACTCAGTCAGTCTCTGTGGGGAAGAGTCTGGTGAGTGCGAGGATCGGATGGGACAGTGGCAACCTGAGGGAACTGGAATTCAGACCACATTGGGTCCTTGGTGACGTTTTCATACATGAAGGATTTGGGGGCAGGAGTGATGTGTCTTGAAATGTGGCTGAGGGACATTCCCAGATAATAAACCAGGTTCTCCTAACTGTTGCTTAGCATAAATGGGAGGTCTCCAGGATGCTCCCCTGGGGTGAAGACAGGAGAGACTCAGCACACCACCCTGGCCCTGCCCTAGGTCACCTGAGGTCTAGAGATGCTCAGGGGACAGAGAAGAGATGGGTCCAAGATGGGAGTGACAATCCCAAGGTCACTCAGGAGAATCTCAGAAAAGGAGGCTTGGCAGCCCCTAGACCCCTGACAACAACCTCTTTTCAGGACACTTGGACCAGCCCAGCCTGGGGAAGGAGGGTGTGAGAAAACCCTCACCCAAACTGTCCCACCTGGATGGAGAAGCTTGTCCCTGTGGGCTCTCCCAGCTGCCTGGGGGGGGGGGCACTGCTGCTTGGACAGGGGCAAAGCAGGGCCTGGGAGGGTGGCCAGGCCCTGCACACTTTGGGCTGATCAGAAACCCCAGGGACATAAAATCCTTGATGAGATGTAACTAGAGAGGCGTTTTACAATCTGTATCTCTGGAATGACCCTTGAGTTACCGGTTAGATCTCACGGGTCCTGTGAGTACAATATGGCGGTGGACTGCTCATGGTCTACTGTCATGATACCAAAGTTGTACATCCAAACATGTAATCACAAATCTCATGTATGCCTGTTTTCTTTTTCCTTTGTCATCCCCATTGCTAGGAAATCAGACATCAGCTGTCACAGGAGGGGACCTACAGGAAGCTTCTCTTCTTTCTCTCTAAAAAATTTCTACACTTGGAGGTGCCTGTGGCTCAAAGGAGTAGGGCGCCGGCCCCATATACCAGAGGTAGTAGGTTCAAACCTGGCCCTGGCCAAAAAGTGCAAAAAAAAAAACTTTGTATACTTATCATTTTCAAATTATCAAAAGTACCCAAAAGTAAAGTGTTTAGACCATAAGTCACAGATGCTCAGCCTGTGGCACAGCTTCCTGGGAAGCTGTGAGCAAGTGATTTTTCTTATGGGGCAACAAGCTCAGTGCTACACGTGTGCTGGTTTCCTGATCATTCCTAGTCCAATGTTTGCCTTAAAAATGTTAATTTTGAACCTAAAAATAAGAAGTGGTATTGATCTCATTAATAATGGACCTACCTTGTGCTTGTGCCACACAGAGTGTGACTCTGTTAGACATGGGAGGCTCTGGGACACGGGTCCTTCTGCATAGGAACCAGCAGACAGACCCTGTCCTCACACTCCTAGAGCTGTCCTGACACATCAACAAATGTCCTGAGAACAGGGTCTGCTCAGCTCCCAGGGCTTTATCCTCTCCAACATCAGGGTGTCAGGGACAGAATATAGGAGAACAGTCCCCACTCCTTCCAGACTCTGTGTTCAAAGAAGAGACCGTGGGTTTCTAGAACAGACCAGGGAGAGTGGACACATTTTGCATCCCATGAACCTGTGCGCTGCTTTTTGAAGGGAACTGAATTGAAATAAGAAGTTGTGTGGATTTAAAATGAAACTGAGCTTTTGGGAAAACACAATTCAAGTGTCAGGCTTTTGGTGTTCCTGGGGTACATTGACAAGGAACTGAGTGAGTTGAGACCACGGTCATGGGCAGAGCTCAAAGAGTGAGAGTGAGGCTGGGGAGGTTCCTGTCCCACATCCCCATCTGTCTGGGTCACCGCCAGCTGCTCCCACTGCCATCAGCTCTGCCACAGTAATAATCGGCCTCGTCCCCCACCCCAGTCTGGGCCCCACTGATGGTCAGGGTGGCCGTGTTCCCTGAGCTGGACCCAGAGAACCGCTCAGGGATCCCGGAAGGCCGCTCACTATCTTCATATATCACCAGCACAGGGGCCTGGCCTGCTTTCTGCTGGTACCAGGAGATGTATCTGTCATCAAGTTTATCACCAGAGCAGGTGATCCTGGCCGTCTGTCCTTGAGACACTGACACCGAGGGCAGCTGTGTGATCTGATAGGAGGACACAGAACCTGCAAGACAGAAGAGGAGGAAGAGCTTCAGAATTAAAGACCCTTCCCAGGGGCCCTGCCCTGAAACCGTGCTGGGCTGAGCTCAGGGTCCACACTGGCCCAGCTCTGGGTCCTATGGGGGCTAATCCTGGGACAGGGTCCCGGGATCAGCAGCTGTGCAGAGAGTGAGGAGGGGGAACAGGAGAGGGCTCCAGGCCATGGTGACACCCCCAGACCTCTGCCTCTGAGCCCACGGTAGGAGTGGCCTCTAGGCCTCTCTTATCACAGGAAGGCGAGTCTCTCCATGCCAATCTCCTTCCCTTCTTTTGCCCTGTTTGCTGGCTCCCTAGTGAGCAGAGGATGCAAATCTCTTCCCCAGTTTTCAATGAGATTTTGTCTAAGTCCTGCAGGCCTCATGCTGGCAATTTCTCAAGTTCATTTAAGGTCCAGGTGGTTGTCAGGAGTGGAGAGTGGCTCACCTAATAGAAAGGGCCTGGAAGTCAAACCCTCTGCATCTGAGCGCTACCAAGAGCCTTGGAGTCATTCAGGTCCCCAAGGCCACAGTGCCCCTAGTGTCCACAGGAAAAATGCCATCTTGCAGGAGTCACTATTTCATGCAGGATGAGAATTTCTGAGCCCTTAATACGTGTCAGACGCATTCATCAGTGTTTTTTTTTTTTTTAAGAGACAGAGTCTCATTTTATCACCCTCGGTAGAGTGCTGTAGCGTCACAGCTCACAGCAACCTCCAGCTCTTGAGCTTAGGCAATTCTCTTGCCTCAGCCTCTCAAGGAGCTGGGACTATAGGCGCCTGCCACAACGCCCGGCTATTTTTTGTTGCAGTTTGACCAGGGTCAGGTTTGAACCCACCACCCTCGGTATATGGGGCCAGCACCCAACCCTCTGAGCCACAGGCATCGCCCTGTTTTTTGTCTGTTTGTTTGTTTTGTAAGTGTAATCCCAAGGAGATTCTCATAATATGGAAGAGGAGGACTAGGAACCCTATGGACAAGGCCAAATTTTCATTAAGGAATCAATGGTGGGAGGTTAAATGTTTTCCTTGAGAGTCCCTGGACAGCAGTGAGTAGAGCCTGAGCCTCCAGTCCCTCCCTGCCCGGTGTCCCACCTTGAGCCTCACTCCTCCTTCGCCATATCCCAGGCTTCAGGGTCCCTCTAGTTTTCATTTATCAGTGCTACCGTCATGAAGTTCCAAATAATCCAGTGGCCTACACAACTTATTTTCTCAAAATTCTGAAGCTTTCAAGTCCAAGATAATGGTGTTGGTGGCTTGGTTTGTCCTGTGTCCTCTCTCCCTGCCTTGCAGGGGGCGACCTTCCTGCTGTGTCCTCACCTGGTCTCTCCTCTGCACCACCTTCCCTGAGGTTGGATTTCTGTCTGTCCAAACTTTCCCTTCTTAAGAAGACACCAGACAGTTTGAATGAGGACTCACCCTAATGTCCTCATCTTCGCTGAATCACGTCTTCAAAGACCCTGTCTCCAAATTCAGTCGCATACTGTGTGTAAGAGCTTCATCCTATGAATATGAAGGGGGACACAATTTGGTGAATAAATGTTCACCTTGAGGACTCCCAAAACATGTGTCTTTCTCACTTGTGCCCCGCTCCCAACAGCCCCCAATCCTTAACTAACTCAGCGTCCTCTGTGAGACCCAAATCTCATCTACAAGGCACCTCATCAAGTGTGGTGGACCACAACGTCTGATTCAACCTGATTCTCTTAATAATAAAAGCTTTAGGGAGTTTCACCCGCCCTCCCTGGCATCATCTGAGTGTTCAGAAAAGTCAAAGTTTCAGTTAATTTGCTAAAATTGAAAGACACAGAGCAAATAGGTGTCAGCAATGTGTGGAGTTAGATGTGGGATAGTCAGATGTGTCCGGTCTTGAAATCGTTTATGCTAATAATTTTAATATCTACAAAAATTAATTTAATAAGCAGCAGCCTGTGCGATAATTTCCACATTGCTTGCACTCTTTCGAAAAACTAAGAATATAAGTAATAACAGTTTGTGAGTATTGGGGTCTTGTCTGAAGCCTTGAGCCTTAGAAAACAGGCAGGCCAGAACCTACAGGAGAGGATTAACAACCTTCTGTATTGAACACTGACTGCACTGCTGTTTGCCCAAGCAGATAAAGGTTGATAGCCGTCTGTGCAGGGGAACAAGTCGAAGGTGATATATGTATAAAACTACGTCCTCCAGCAGGTGGCCTCTAAGCTCCTTGAAAACAAAGCTGTAAAACTGAATTCTTAGAGCTAAATTGAGTGCTTGTAAAATAGATTACCCCCTTGCTCCATCTGTTGATTTTTTACTCTATAGAAATAAAGTTTAGAATGCATGGTTGCTTAAGAAATAATATGGTTGTTTCTAAGTCAGTTTTCCGGACTCAGTGTTTCCTTTTAAGGTTAGGATAGAATAGGGAATGTTAATTATAGATTATTGATTGACGTGGTGTACGTGACTTACTGACTATAAAAGACCCTTTGAAATAAAGATGATTGCTACTTGCCATCCCATGAGCAGTAGTCTGTTTCTTGCATCCACACAATGTTAGGTGTGGACTTACACCTGAGGCAAAGCGCTCTCCGTTTCCTTACAGAACCTTCAACCGACAGCAGCCATAGGATATCTTTAGCAGTGTATGGAAAAGAGCCATAGTTGATGCAGAAAGTAAAATTTTAAATACCAGAAGTTGAATTGTTTAAAGAGCATAAATGCCCCAATCAATTAAGATGAATCCTAGACAAAAACAGGGTGGTCCAAAGAAACTGAATCTGTGGCACAAATATTTAGCTGCAAATTCCAGTTTTAGACTTCAGCACCAGCATGCTGATGTGCAAATACAGACCCCAATGGTTATGCAAAGGTTCAACTTGCCCAGCTTGACACTGAGGTTCCCTTGATGTTTCCTCAAGGGCTGAGAGTGTCCTTGGCAGTGGGGAAAAAGGGTTTCCTAAGAGATCTATCCTTATACCCTGAATGAAGGGAAACAATCATGTTATGGAAAATGATAATTTGCAACATAGGTACACGTTCACTGGCTTGAAGCCTGTAGCTCAGCAGCTTCAAATCCAGCCTGGGCCTGCCAAACAACAATGACAACTACAACTGAAAAATAGCTGGGTGTTGTGGTGGCACCTGTAGTCCCAGCCACTTGGGAGGCTGAGGCAAGAGAATCTCTTAAGCCTAAAAGTTAGAGATTGCTGTGAGCTGTGATGCCACAGTACTCTACCAAGGGCAATATAGTGAGACTCTGTCTCAAAACAAACAAACAAACAGACAGACAGTACACGTCCACTAATGAGGAGCCGTTCTTTTCCCAGCTGTTTGTTTTGAGGCTCTTCAGTTTAATATCTCAAGTGTTCTTCTTTATCTCATTGTTAAATAATGAGTTTTACAATTTTATCGTTTATATAAATATCTGACATATCTAAGTCTCACTCTTTCTTCCTTTCTCTCTCTCTTCCTTCCTCCCTCCATTTCTTCCTTCTTTCCTTCCTTCCTTCCTTTCTCTCCTTCTCTCTCTCTCTCTTTCTCTCTCTCTCTCTTTGTATTTGTTTTTGAGACAGAGGCTTCCTTTGTCACCCTGGGTAGAGTGCCATGACATCACAGCTCACAGCAACCACAAACTCTTGGGCTCAAGTGATTCTCTTGCTTCAGCCTCCTGAGTAACTGGGACTACAGGTGCCCACCACAATGCCCAGGTATTTTTAGAGATAAGGTCTTGCTCTTGCTCAGGCTGGTCTCAAACTCCTGAGCTCAAGCAATCCACCTTCCTCAGCCTCCCAGAGTGCTGGGATTACAGGGTGACCCATTGTGCTAGGCCCTTCTCTCTCTTTCTCTTCCTCTTTCCCTCCCTCCCTCTCTCCCTTCCTTTCTCTCTCCCTCCTTTTCTCCCTCCCTCCCTTTCTTGTTTCCTTCCCTGTTCTTCTTTCTGTCTTTTCTTTATCTTCTTTCTTCTCTCTCAGAACTTTGACTATCTCCTTTCTTTTTGGTTTCAATGACAATGCTGATTTTTTAAGACTCCTTTCTCAGAGTCTATACTGGATTATTCCAGATTTTGGTACAAACTGGCTTTGCCTGTTTATCTTTCTCCCTTCTCTGATTTTACATCTATTTCTGATACTGAAATACTCCCAAAGCTCACAGGAAAAGAAGAAGAGACAAAGTTATGACATCGTGACATAAAACTATCTTGGGTGAACCCAAGATCCAATCAAATAAATGATAAAAGCTTCTTCTTACCTAAAGAAATACCTCAAGCCATATGGTAATTGGAAGCAAAATGTCATGTTGCTCCAGTAACTCCCACGAGAACAATCATGCTTCTAGAAATTCATGTGATGTCGTATTCACACTTCACCCCAAAAGAGTCGCATAAGGATACTCACAGATAACCCACTTACAGATAACCCATATTATCTGTAAGATTAGAATCTTGATGATAACCACTAAGGATACTTGGTTAAAAATACCACCATAAAATGTTCTGCAACCTTAGAATGAATAGGGCAGAGCCCTGTGTCTGGGACGGCTCAGGAAGACACCAGAAATAGCACATGTGACAATCTTAGACATGGAGCACCAGGGTGGGGTCCTCACCCTTCACTCCATCCCATGCACAGTCTCAAGGAAACAGGGCTTGACGGAGAAACTTGGCTCCTGTGATTTACTGAGGAGTCTACTCAAAACAGTTCAGAAATGACTCGGCACCCACCACTCAGTGGTTATGGTGCCGGCCACAAACAGCAAGACTGGCAGGTTGGAACCTGCTCTGGGCCTGCTAAACAACAATGACAACTGCAAGAGCAACAACAAAAATAGCTGGGTACTGTGGTGGGTGCCTCTAGTCCCAGCTACTTGAGAGTCTGAGGCAAGAGAATCACTTAAGCCCAAGAGTTTGAGGTTGCTGTGAGTTGTGATGTCATAGCAGTCTACCAAGAGCCATGTAAAAAAGAATTCAGAAATGGAGAGGCAGGGGTGAAGGGTGGGAAAGGGCAGAGGTC